TCCTCCTCCTCCCTCCTCCTCCTCCTCCTCCGTCTTTATAATAGTTTGTTTGTAGATTTTCATTTAACATACATACCCCCTCCTCCTCCTCCTCCTCCTCCTCCTCCTCCTCCTCCTTCCTCCTCCTCCCTCCTCCTCCTCCTCCTCCCTCCTCCTCCTCCTCCTCTATAATAGTTTGTAGATTTTCATTTAACATACATACCTCCTCCTCCTCCTCTTCCTCCTCCTCCATTTTTATAATAGTTTGTTTGTACATTTTCATTTAACATACATACCTCCTCCTCCTCCTCCTCTTCCTCCTCCTCCTCCTCCTCCTCTTCCTCCTCCCTCCTCCTCCTCCGTCTTTATAATAGTTTGTTTGTAGATTTTCATTTAACATACATACCTCCTCCTCCTCCTCCTCCTCCTCCTCCTCCTCCTCCAACACCACCACCACCACCACCTTGTAATTTCCTGGCCAACTCCCATCATGCAGTCCTTAGATTCCAACCCAAGACAGCCCAAGATGGACTTCCCAGAAATCTTTAGAAAGTAGGGGAGATGCTGGCACCGGCCTGTCAATGTTTAGAAGGTTTGTGCCTAGGGCAAGCGCTTGCCTTTCGTCAGGACAGCCCCCTGGCCTCAAAACTCCCCCATGCCCTCCCAGGAGGACCGCTGGTTCCATTCCTTGTCATTCCTCCTTCTGATCTCCCGTCTTCCCCCTTTTGTCAGTAAGACGGAAGGCCCAGAGGCAGTGGAGGTGTGTGTGTGTGTGTGTGTGTGTGACGGACATTTTTAGCCAACGGTCCTGCTATCCCCTCTTCTGGTCTCTTTTCTCCCTCCCCTGGTTTGGGACAGACCTGGGTTGGACAGGAGCCAAACCTCTTGGCATGGTCAAGGTCTTCCCAAGGAGCCGCCAAGGGAGGGAGATTTCACCATGTCTCTGTGTTGGGTAGGCCAGGGACAGGCCACTAGGTAGAGGAGTCCTTGCAAAGGAAAAAAACAAAAAAGGAGTCGGAGCTGCCAGCTGGCCCACTGCCCGGTTGATGTTGGCAAGGTCCAGGAGGGTGTCTGGCTTTTGAAGTTGGAAGGAAACGGCTGGCGGCTGGGCTTACGTTGACATCCCAACGACAGAGCCATGAGGGATGATTGGAGCGGGGTGGGGGCACGGCAGAACCAGGGCCGCGTTGCCCGGGGTAGGAGAACAAACCTGCGACCTACAACGGTGCCAGCATTCTGAAAGAATCGAAGCAGTTCGGGAGTTTGGCTTGGGAACCGTGACAGCCCCAGAAATGCTCCTCACGAGAGCCTCTTTTTCTCACACACACAACAGTTTTCTAGTGAAATGTGCACAAGAGAGCAAGCAAGATTTGTGCTTTCGATCAATCAATCAATCAGAATAGAGCTGGAAGGGACCTTGGAGGTCCTCTAGTCCAACTCTGTTCAAGGAGGAGACCCTACACCAGTGGTGGCTAATCTTTTGGGGTTCCTGTGACAAAAAATTGTGCGTGTGCTTCTGCGTGCTCGCATGCCAGCACCCGGAAGGCAATGCGTACGCCCCCTACACCCCTGCGCATGCGCGCGCAATCCCCTCTGCGCCACCCGCTTACCTGCACTGTGCCTCCCGGCTGATTTTTGGCTTGTTTGAGGCCTTTTTTGGCCTCCCAGAGCCTTGAGGAAAATTTCTGCAGGTTTTGCAGGCTGAAAAATGGGCCCGTTTCATCACTTCCGGTATTTCCGGAAATACAGGAAGTGATGAAACGGGCCTAATTTTTTGGCCTGCAAAGGCTTTCCTCAAGCCTCTGGGAGGCTGAGAAAGGCCTCAAACAGGCTGAAAATCATTTGTGAGGTGTGCACATGCGCAGTGAGGTAAGTGTTTGCCTGTGTCTCGCGTGCCACAGGTTCACCATCAGGGCCCTATACCAATCTTGAAGCACCCACAACTTCTGGTGGCAAGCTGTTCCCCTGGTTAATTATCCTCAACGTCAGGAAATTCTTCCTTAGGACTAAAATTGCTTCTCTCCTTGATTGGTTTCCATCCTTTTGCTTCTTGTCCTTCTCTCTGGTGCTTTGGAAAATAAGTTCACCTCCGTCTTCTTTGGCGCAGCCCCTCAAATATTGGAGGACTTTTATCATGTACCTCCCCTACTCCTTCTTTTCTCTAGACCAGCCAAACCCAATTTCTGCAACTGATCTTCGTATGTTTTAGTCTCCAGGCCTTTAATCCTACGAGTTTCTCTTTCTCTTTTTTTTTTTTTTGGTAATGTGGTGAGCCAAACTAGATGCAGCATTCCAGGTTTGTTGAATGTTAAGCCAGTCTTCTTGCATGAGGCAGGATTTGTGCATTTCTGAAGCATCCAAGACTTTGTCCTGGACCATCTCTCAACTTGACATGTTTGATAAGTGTGGAGCGCTGGCTGGGGAATTCTGGGAGTTGAAGTCCTCCCCTCTTACAACTGAGAAGTGCCAAGAGTGTTTAGAAGTGTAAAGTTGACAAGGGTGTCAAGCGCCGTTTCTCAACCGTGCCAACTTTAAGATGTGTGGGGCTTCCACTCTTACCATGCCAGAGTTTTCTCATTCCTTTCAGGGTCAGGCGGTAACTTGTCTATTTGTTGTGTGTGTGTTTTCTTCCAGCCAGCTGTCCATCACGTCCCAGGCTTTGAGGTAAGACCGTCAAGAGTGTCTATAGAAGCTGCATGTTCTGTTTTGGGTCATCACCGAGGTGGATAGGATTGTGGTTGAAGGCAAGAATCTCTGCAGAATCCAGAGCTTTCCTCAAAATGGTGATATAACAGAGCTGGAAGGGACTTTGGAGGCCTTCTAGCCCAACCCCCTGCTTAGGCAGGATACCCTACACTACTTCAGACAATTTGTTATCCAATCTCTTCTTAAAAAAAACCTTCCAGTCATGGAGCACCCGCAACTTCTGGTGGCAGGTGGTTCCACGGATTAATTGTTCTCAATTAATTCCTCCTTAATTCCAGGTTGCTTCTCTCCTTGATTCATTTCCACCCGTTGCTTCTTGTCCTGCCTTCAAGGGCTTTGGAGAATAGCTTGACTCCTTCTTCTTTGGGGCAGCCCCTCAAACATCAATGAAGCCATCCGTATACAAAAAGTTGAAGCACCTTCACGTTTCTCCACCTTGTTCCTCAACCTTAAGATGACTTCAACTCCCAGAATTCCCCAGCCAGCCAGCCAGCCAGCCAGCCATGCTACCCTGGGGAACTCTGGGAGTTGAAGTCCACACATTGGTAAAGTTGAGACTTTTGGAACACCATTTCTCAACCTTGATCAACTTTAAGATGGGTGGACTCCAACTCCTAGAATTCCCCAACATGCTTGGCTGGCTGAAGAATTCTGGGGGATTGAAGTCCACATATTTTTAAACGGATTGATAAGTTTGAGAAAAGCTAATGTAGAGTTTCCAATCTGATGTCACAACACACATTTGGGCTATTTGCTTCCCGTCACCCTTTCTCGATGCCCACAATGGGAAGGAGAGCTGGCTCCAGTTGAAAAGCAAAGGCTGGGTCTTGGTGGGGCTGTGGAGGATGGGACCCACAGGCTCAAATTCCTCTTCCTAATTGGGACTTGTTTTCCCACCAGGAAGAGAAGGAGCTTTCGAAAGTTCCTGTTAAACTTATTTTACTGCCAGTATTTTAGGTCTGTACCTCAGTCTGACCATAGGCCAGGTCTTCGGGTTGTCTAGCCAAACCACAGCAGAGACGGTTCTTTGCCAACTTTGCCTGATGTCAACCAAGCTAAACAAAGTTAGACCAGGTTTGTCCTTGAAGATAAACCATTAGAAAGTCCCAGAGCTAGAAGCTAGACTGGAAAGTTTAAAAAGCATACTATCAGGTGCAGGGGTGGGCTTCAGAGGGGGTATTTAGCCGGTTCTGACCAGTTCTGGAGAACCAGTAGCGGAAATTTTGAGTAGTTGGGAGAACCGGCCAATCCCACCTCTGACTGTCCCCACCAACCCCATCTATTCTCTGCCTCCCATTGAGTCCCAGCTGATCGGCTGAGTCTTCTTTGATTGCCCTGCATGGGAGAACAGAGCTGGAAAGCAGGTTAGTGGGGTGGGGAGCAGAGGTGGTATTCAGTAGGTTCTGACCAGTTCTGGAGAACCAGTAGCGGAAATTTTGAGTAGTTCAGAGAACCGGCCAATCCCACCTCTGACTGGCCCCACCAACCCCCATCTCTTCTCTGCCTCCCATTGAGTCCCAGCTGATCGGCTGGGTCTCCTTTGGTTGTCGGAACTGGCTGAATCCTACCTCTGCTCTTCCCACAAGGCTTGTTAGAGAAGACCAGGGCTTTTGCTTTCAAAATTCAGCGCCACCTTTGAGCCTTGTTGGCTAAGTTAGTGGTTCTCAAACTTGGCTGCTTGAAACCATGGCTGGCTGGGGAATTCTGGGAGTTGAAGTCTACCCCATCTTCAAGCAGCCAAGATTGAGGAAAAAAACTGGCTCTGGGTCAATCT